ACCCTTTGTTATTACATCCAAAAGGAACTTTTCACATAATCTTTAAGTAGAACACAATTTTAAGACATGTTCTGACTGCACATAATCCTTGTCAGCCTTCATTTTGCTATATGGCCCAGGCTGACCTCAAAGTCACAATCCTCCTGTTTCAGCCTCCGCCTTTAAAAAGAATTATCACACCTAGCATAAATATAAATAATAGGAATACAGAACATGCACATCTGATACAATTCACCATATACATGGATATGTGCTATTAACAGAAATATAAACTTAATTTCTAGAATATATTTTTTTAAAAAGTAAATAACTATAGAAACAATAATGACTATGTATTAAACTTTTGATGAGTTTTTATATTTTCATCATGAACAATTGATTTCTTAAGATCAGTATATTTAACCTGATCTGAACATTTTACAATGCATACGTGTATCAAAACATCAACGGTCACATGGTACCTGCTGTGGCTTCAATCTGAACTGTCCCCTCACAGGCTTATGTTTTGAATTCTTAGTCCCCAGGTCATGGCAGTATTTTGAAGGCATAGAGGCTTTATCAGGAGGGTCTTGGCTATCAGAAGAAAATCATTGGGAACAGGTAATGTGAACATTATACCCACCTCTGGTTCTAGATCGGCTGCCTCTGATCCCTAGTCTGCTCACATGTGTACAACTTTTGTCTCACAAAGCCATGACAACTACTAGGATGGACTATAATGTTCTGAAACTGTAGTTAAATAAACTTTCCCTGCCTTAAATCATTCCTATAGGACATTTCAATCCCAGTGATGCAAAAGTATCCAAAAAATTATTCTATAAATATGTACAATGTGTTGTTATATTAACTAAAAACATTTAATTTACATAAAAAGGAATATTAGTTTTGGACCACAGTATATAATAACTTCTATGTGTATATAAGTTGTTCATAAACTTTATCACTCCTGTGTGTTTTTAAATTTTTGACCGATAAATATAAATATGGAATGCAATGTGATGTCTTGATGTATTTTCTCATGAAATCCTAGTCCTTGTCTTAATTCCTACAGTTTATATGGTCCACCTGCTTTGAAGATAATTCTCCCTCTCGTGACACAAAGGATACAGGGCACAGAAACAAGGACCAAAAAATGGGATTTTATAACAGAAAGGAAATAATTTGGCAGCATAACTGGGTTGGGGGAGGTATGAGATAGAAAACATATGAGAGAAACAAATGAGAAAGAGGGAAAGAGAGACAGAGGGGCAAATAGAGAACAGTCAATGAGAAATACATAACAGGAAGAAATGAAGCCACAAACCTAAATGGAAGGGCAGGGAAGAAGACGGAGAGTGAGGAAGAGGAGATGGAGGAGGAGGAAGAGCAGCGAGAAAAGGAAGAGCAGAGATGGAGGGAGAGGAGGGGCACTCAGATGAACAAAGAAAACACAGCAATCTCAGGGTATTTAAAATATCATAAAATCTACAAAACACAAACTATAGCCTCTGACCCATTCTTAGTGCCTGGCTCAGTGGTATTAATATCTTAATATTAATTATTGTGCAATCATCACCACCATTCATCTCAAGAGCCATCATTTCCAAAACAGAAACTCTTTTCCTACTAACACACCAACTCTTTATCCCTCTTCCCAGGCTAGGGAGCCCACTGTTCTGGTTTCTACTTCTATAACGTGGCTACAATAGGGATGGCTGTGTGAAGAATCAGCATTTATCTTTTATGACTGGTGTACCTTCTCAAGAAAGTATTTCATTCATGTTGTACTATATAGGTCAGTGTTCCTGCTTTTTAAGGCCACAAATAATTTTACACCATAAAGGGTGAAATGCTGGAAACTGATGGCCCACCGTGGTCCCCGCATAGGTCTAACAGAAAGCTGCTGTTCACTTGCCGCACATGCTCTGGCACACAGATGATTACAGCAGATGTGGAACCAGGAACAGAACTCCTCCATCTGTGCCTGGGAACTGACGTCGACATCCCGGCTCCAGTCAGTCCTGCTGCTCACACTCGGCATTTTGGTCCTTGTTTTAATTCCCGGGAACTGACTAAACTCAAGAGAAATCCATTTCAGCCAAGAGAACACAGAATGTGAAACATCTATATATGACAAGTTTGAGGCAATGACACCCAGCACAGCCTAGGATTGGTATGTCTTCCATAAAAACCCTGTTTTATCAAATCAACATATAGTGGGCCTGAAAGATAGCTCAGTGGCTACGGGTGCTTTTTTCCAAGCCTGACAACATAAGATCTATCCCTGGAACCCATGTTGTAGAAGGAGAGAACCGACTCCTGAGGGATGTCCTCTGACCTTTGCATGCAGACACACACGATAAATAAAATGTACTTTTAAATCAACATGTTAATTGTACAAAGGAATGGGTTTATGACATTCCCTCCCATATTTCCCCCCTAGATTTCATGAGTAACTGAAAAAAACACACGTATTTTTCTTTGTGGGGCTGCTTTATTCCATTTAATGTGATTACTTACTATAATGATCTATCCTTGTCCATTCTTTTCTGCAAATGGCATATTCTTTATGGCCCGATAGACTCCAACTATATATATTTACCACATTTTATCCTTTCTTCTGTTAACGGCTACATAGGCTGGTTGCACAATAGCTATTATGAAGAATAAAGTAACAAACACAAGTATGTAGATATGTCCAAAGCAAGCTAATGTAGTTTTTGTCACGTAGACATGTTAGAATCATATAACTTCAATTGAGAAAATGCCACCATCAGATTGGCCTGAAGACAAGTCTGTGGGGCACTTTAACAATTATGATCAATGTGAGAGAATCCATAACATTGTGGGCAATACCACCCTGGCAGGAAATCTTAGGTTGTTTCAGAAAGAAGGCTGAGCAATCTAAGGGACTAAGATAGTTAGCATTTTCCTCCACATTTCCTGTTTCAGTTACTGCTCAGACTTCTCTCAGTGATGGACTGCACTTGGGATGTGTAAGCTAAATCAATACTTTCTTCTTTGACTTTTTTGTCAGAATGTTCTATCACAGCAGTAGAAAGCAAACTTGAACACTGACTGATTCTTTGTAGTATAACACAATGGCACAGCAGGGACTTTTATCTTGCTCGGTTAGTATGTCTTGCATCAAAAACAAAAAGAAAAAAATACGTTGTTAAGGATAAAGAAAATCTTATACACTGTTTCTGTGACTGTAAAATAGTGTAGCCACCATGGGAACCAGTAAGGAAGTTCTTCCAAACACTAGAACTACAACTATCACATGCTCTAAGTATACAACCCTTCCCCTTTCTACCAGAAAGCCCCAGCTATTAGGGCCATGAGGTGAATCACTTTTGTCATCTCTACCCAGTGTTCATGCTGAAACTTTTCTGCGTATGCCTCCAGTTATTTTCCATAATACATTATATAGATGTGTGTAAAATTGTCAAAAAATTAAAATAAATAAATACATGTTGGTCTTTCAAGAAGCAATTTCAGAGAAATGCGTACAATGCAATTCTAGCAGGATGTACAATCGTGGAGAACAGAATGAAGAAAGGTTACTGTTGAGTGGTGTTACCCCTCTTAGTGGTCGTGTGAGCATAGAAGAATGGAAACTAAAAATGAGGCACACTGAAAGTCTCATTCAATAGCCAACTTTATTCAGGGCATCAGACAATTTATTTATATTCTGAGGGCTAAGCAACATCATAAGAGCAAAGTTCACATGAATTCGAGTTGTGTACAGTCACAAGGGCAAAGCCTGTTCACATGACTTTTGGCTGTATACCAGTGGTTCTCAACAATCCTAATGTGACCGTGACCCTTTAATACAGCTCCTCGTGTTATGGTGACCCAACCACAAAAAAAGAGAAGAATTCCCTATTAATTCATAACTGTAATTTTGCAAGTGTTATGAACCTTAATGTAAACATCTGTGTTTCCCGATGGCTTTAGGGTGAAAGGGTCCTTCACCCCTCCCCCAAGAGGGCCACCCGTGCTTGGAAACGACATCTGAATAGTAAGATAATCTGAAGTAAACCCAAACCCACTCCTACTTACTACACCTGGGAGGGGCATGAAAGGAAATTCCAAGAACAATTTTGTGCTTGGGGGGGCTGAGGTCACAGACACTTGTCCTGTTTTCTTGGCGTTTTCTTAAACAAATTAGGATTCTCATTACATAGCTTCACTCATGGGCTGTGTTCTAACATGATCCATGGAGGGTCACCTGCAGTAGCTCCCCAGGGGGTGATCTCTTGCATTCCCTAGGGCCACAGGACTCACAAACCCCACACTACCCATGGCCACCCTTCCCTGCCACTAGCCTCTCAAATCCCTTGGGGCAGCAGCAAGCCTACCTCACACCCTACACTACCATTGGCCACCCTCAAAACTAATGTCCACCCACAGTCAACTCAGTTCACGCCTGGCTTTGTCTGTGCCCATCCCCGCCCCAGGAACTAGTCCACAATGCAGCTACCTCCAAACCACGTCCCACTATTATCTAAATCGCCTGCCATGGAGTTTGGCTCTCCCGCGCCCATGCCTGTCGCTCCAACAGTCCCTCGCTGCCAGGCTGCCCGTGGTCTCCTTGGCCGACCTATCCCAAAGTCCAAATGTGTCAATAAGCAAACTGCGAAGAGCATGGCCAGGCGGTGGTGTGCATGCCTTTAATCCCAGCACTCAGAGGCAGAGGCAGGCGGATCTCTGTGAGTTCTAGGCCAGCCTGGTCTACAAGAGCTAGTTCCAGGACAACCTCCAAAACAATACAGAGAAACCCTGTCTCCAAAAACCAAAAACAAACAAACAAAAATAAGCAAACTGGGAAGAACACTTAGAATCTAGAAGGGCCCGCGGAGGCCAAAACTGCCCACTAACCCCGCCCTGAAACCCCTAAGAACGTCTGGGCGGAAATGAACCGGGAAGCGGCCCGCAGAGGGCCGGAAGTGGAAGCGCAGAGCGGAACTGAAGGCGGAACTGAAGGCGGAGCCGGCTCGCGCTGCTGGGGTGGGTGTTCCTCCCGCAGGCGGTGGCCGCTGGGAGGGGCGGGGTAGTGCGAGCACCGGTCCTGTTAGGAGGAGGCAGGAACGCTGCCTGCGAGCCTGCTCGGCAGTGCCAGGACCCCTGCATCCTCCTGCAGAGGTAAAGCCGGGCTCCTCCACCTCCCGGCTCTGGGGATGCTTTTTTGTTCTCCCGGAGTGAGGCGGGGCGGGCTGGCGGAGGCCCGGGGACGCTCTCCTGTGTCCTGCCATGCCAGCAGCAAGCGGGCCAAGTAGTGCTCAGAGTGGAAATTCTTCAGCTCTGCCAAGTTCAGCCCTGTCCCTTTTAGGCCCTCTAAGCCACAGGGCATGTTTACCGTCCGTGGAGCCGCCGGAAGATCGCTCTCCAGTCAAATAAGTTGCGCAGTTGCACAGGCAGATCATTTCGCCTCCTGCCTGTCCTGTTGAGCTTGTGCCTGGCCTGCATAGAGATCAGGTAATTCCATTCCCCCCAGCCACAGGCTGGGCTGTTTTTACATGTTAAATCAGTAAGTACATGCGGAGGGAGGGTGATGGAGGTTTTGTTTTGTTTGTTTGTTTGTTTTTCTGTCATAACTTCAGTGTTTTCTGTAAAAGGCCTGAGCGTCGATTTTTTAAATGCTTTTTTCTTTTCAGACAAAAACAATTATATATATCAAAAGACATCATTCAAACTGAGATTTGTGTTGAAACCTCAGTGTGGTGTTGAAAACCCCTCGGTGAACACCTGCCCTCGTTAATCTGTGAGTTTCACGTAACCAGGTGAATGTTATGTGGGTTGTAAGCAGTACAGATCCAGCGGATCGAGCAGTGTCGAACTTTGCTTGTGACAGGTTGTGACTCTAAGTGTGCAACCATTAAGAATGGGGGTTATCTCAATAAGCTGTATTAATGTTTGATAAATTATATTCAAAGAATGAACACCCAGGTGCCTAATAAGTAAATGTAGTTAAATACAAATTTCACAAAATAGGCATAAATAACCATGAATATGAATGAGCACATACATGCAGAATTTTCTTGTGTGCTTCAACACCAAACTCTTCAGGGTTTTATATTAAGTACAAACGACATATTTATATGTATTTTTAGTACTTACAGATTTTCCCATTAAATGCTCAGTATAGCATTCTTTAAGCTCATTCTATGTGACTTCAAAAGCCTGTACATCCTCATGAAGTTTCAGAATAAAGGGGCATGTGTGAAAAGAAGTTTTGTGTTTCAATATGTTAGTAACAGAAATCTAAAATTGAATAGACTAACTACTAAATGTTGATAAGATTGTAAATATTCGGAAGACTATCAAAGAACAACTTTCAGGTTAAAGAGCAAGATACAAGGCTGCCCTTCCTATCTTGCCTCCTAATAGGAATTTAACATTTCTGAAGCAGCAGTATGATCTTTTATAACATGGAAGATAGTTTTTAGCTGTATGTTTGATTTCTTTTATCCAGTGTTGGGGATCTAACACTTGTCTTGGACAAGTTAGGCAAGTGCTCTACCACTGAGCCAAATCCCTACACCTGCTAGTTTTTTTTTGTTTGTTTTTTAGCATTCCTATAATCATATTAAGGGAATACTTGGTTATTATGTAACTGATATTCATTATTATACATTATTATTAGGATGACCGAGACCCTTATTTTATTCAAGGCTGAAGATCTTTTTAGGACAGAGGACATTGAGGATTCAGAATAGTCTGGGGCAATCTAGGACAGTTAGTCACTTTTATGAACTGGGCCTTGGGTCTGATGCATGAGGCCCAACAATGACTTTGACCTATCTCCATGGAGTGTACATTCTAACAGAAAAGACAGTAAAAATGAATATTGAGGCCTGGGTCTAAGGAGGCAGCAGAGTCATTTGGAAAGGAATAGTAATTAGATTGCAAGCTAATAGTGCCTGATGTCTCAAATGACTGTAAACAGTGACCTCAGATGACACAGATACAACATTCTCTTGCTGTTCTAGAGCTGAGTATCTCTAAGTGCCTCGGGCAGCTTTCCCTCAAGCTTTTTAAGAAGCCTTTCCCACGTTACAAAACTTTCCGAATTCTTTGACTTATGGTCCTTTCCGCCATCACCCCTTTTGCCCTCCCCCCATAGGGTCTCATTCTGTAGAGCCCTGCATGGCCTCCAACTCACAGATCCTCTTGCCTCTGCCTCCTGCGTGCTTAGAGGCATGCACCAGTATACCTAACAACCTTCCTCCACTCTTAAAACCAACAAGGAGGCATCCTCGCCTTTCTCCACCTCTGTTTTTGTCTGCCTGTTGTCCTGTCTCTATCTCTGTTCCTTCCTCTCTTTTTCTGTCACCTCCTGTCCCTTGCTGCTCCTGTCCCCATTCCCACCTCCCTTACCCTTTCTCACTCCTATGCTTTCATGTCATCGAATCTGAGATTCTCTCTCCTTCCACCTCACACAATGCAATTCGGACCATCCAGGATAATCTCCTAACTCAGTGTTTTCACCTTACTGACAGCATCAGAATTCTTTCTGCAAACTGTGGAGGCACACCTATAGGTGCTGTAAAGCAGAACTGAGGCACCTGTCTCTCAAAGAGCCTCAGGAGCCAAAGAATCCCTGGAAGTCCACTTTCTCACATTGTCCAAACTTTTTAAGTGTTTATGCTCTGTCCCTGCCCCATATGCCCTACACTACTTTCCTTGGGATCAACTAATCCTCAAGAAGCTGCTTTTATGGTGCTTTTTTCAGAGAAAGGAGAAACCCCCCCTTCCTCTAAAAAATAAAAATCGTGTATGTGCATGCTGCTTTCTTGGTACCTTGATTGATTTTTTTCCACTTAAATTGGAGATAATTTCTGTCAATACCTACAGATGTTTTCAGGTTGGAAATTTTATATTTTTTCTTGCTTTATATTATTATGTAGGTCACCTACAGTTTTATTTAACCTTTCCCATTTGATGATCATTTGCATTTATTTCTTTTTAATGTTCTTATTTTTATGTGTGCTGCTGAAGAGGTAAGAGGACAACTTGCAAAAGTTGGGTCTCTCTTTCTATTATGTGGGCTGTGTTTATTACGTTTGTCTATTTTTTTCATGGGTATTATGTTCCGTAGTGTGTGGTAAGAGGACACCTTGCTAGTTCTCATCTTCCACCACGTGGGTCCCTAGGGTTAAAAAAAGTCTTCACAGCAAGTGCCTCTATCTGCTAAGCTTTCTTCCCAGACCCATTTGTGATTATCTCATTTGCTATTATAAGTACAGTCAGTGATGTTACCCAAGTCTTTTGGTATTTGAATATGATTGAGCTACTTCATAGAAATGGGATTAAAAGAATAAGTGATGAAAGTTTATGCTCCTTGGCCTAATGTTGACAGCTTGATTTCATAAGAGCCATGCTCATCTGTGTGTGAGAAAGCTTTCCTTTATATCTTAGCAAAGTTTACAGCTTTCTGTGGTTTTGCTCATGAAACAGATGGGAAATGGTGTCAGGTAACAATAGTCTGTTACAATCAACATCATTGGTTCAGGAATATTGTTTCAGAGATGGAGGTGGTAAACAGTAGGTACTACCATGTGAGGAGCGAGTAGGACAAGGGGAAAGGAGACATCATGAGAAATATTGGCTGTTATAGGGGAACAGACTGGACAGTAACTAGAAACAAAACATACTTAGGGATAAGATTATTTCACCAAGAGGATGCTACCTGACTTGAGTGGCAAGGTCGAGAACTTGAGGATAAAGATGAATGGGACCATCAAGAGTGGGTGCATGACCAAAAACTACCTCAACGTCGGTGGTTGTTCACCAGTACTGGAACCCTGGAGCTCAATGCACTGCTTGCCGGCAGCTCCGTATGTCAGAGAATGTCTCATCCAGGCAGCCTAGCTGGTCTGATCGTCTTCAGCTAGCTAGCTGGCCTCTGTCTCCTCAGCAGTCTTTACTGCTTGTATAACTTTGAGGAGATGGGGCCTTGTGAATCTGATTACTTTTATAGATGTTCAGGTTCTCCTGATGCTTACTTCCCGTGTCTTAAGGAGCCTCCTTTTAGAATTTCTAGAGTCTTAATAAGCCTCCTTACAACTTCGTGAGTTTTAACAAGCTAAGACAGAAATGGCACACTCCATCAACAAAGTTAAGTGTTCCCCAAGTTGTGTGAACCCTTCAAGCATATTAATCAAACCCAAGAAAGTGATCATGGGAACTCCAGTTTTCAGCCATTGTGTCAAGAGCATAGGGAAACCCATCAAGGGCTGAAAACTGTCATCTAAGGGGCACTCAGGGAACTGATCCTGCAACCTGTGACTATTCAAGCCTGATAGGATATTCAAGCAGATTTTTCCAGGAGTGGATTGAATTAGTAGACTTCCAGCTAGTGATGACTTCAGAATTGCTTTTTTGCTTTAAGTGGGGAGAATTCCTTTTGATGGTGATGTGAAAGCAGAGGGAGAACAGACACCCCCCACTCTGCCTAACCCCGGCAAACAACCTGCCAAGCAGCTCCAGTGTGGGAGGCAGATGCATTTTGAAGAAGGCAAAGGTGGACAAGTTGAAAAGTGCTTGTCCTCAACACCCCTGGGAAAGAGAGTGGCTGTAAAACCTTCCTGTCCTCTTTGATTCCAGAGGACTGCCCTTGGTGTCTCTGGGAGTCAGAAGTGTATCTGTCCAGTCCACTCCTTGTGTTTGGAAGCTCTGGTGCTAGAGTCATGATGGCAGCAACTGTCGTTCCTCTGATCCATGGTAAGTCATTGGGTCCTAGCAACCCTTAGAGTAGTACTATCCAGAGGCCCCCAAGCCTACAATTCAGAAAGAGGTAAAGCCTGGCGAGCCATTGAGGAGGCTCAGGCCTAGCAGAAAAGTCAAGAGTGAAGCCCAGTGGTCCTTGGATGTGATAGACAGCTCTTGAGACAGGATGTACTTGCTGGCTGTTGGATCTATCATCTTCAAGATGACTGTGTGGTCTCTTTTAAATTTTACCTTTAATTGTTCCTGGAATAAATGTTCCTCATAGGTGGTGAGAACCAAGTGCCCTATATCCTAGCTAAGTTGAGACAAGGTTATGTCATGCTTATGAAAGCTGTGACTGAATATCTGTGCAGGCAGAAGAATATGCTATGACTGTACATGTGAACGAATATTCATGCTGTAGGTGCAGATAGTGTTATATTGTTAGTATCAGTTGGATAAGTAAACCTCACACCATCCTAGGATGTCCTAGCTTCTCATGATTTATTTCTTCTTCCCCAGTTCAGTCTTCTCCGTACTCACTGTCTCCTGAGAAAGGACACATAGGGAAAGAAGGGCTGGCCAATGAGTTCCTGACAAACTTGATACAGGTGAGTCAGATATTCTTTTTCTCCAAGTCATCCCTTGCATAAAACTTGTTATTATGAAGACTTATACACTCCAACCAGAATCACCAAGCATCTGACCAGGGCTGGGAGACAGCTCAGAAAATGTCTCTTGTATCAATATCCACTGCGTTCTTGAAGTTCCTTCCAGCGTTTCTAAGGACACCATATACTTCCTAAGAGTTTGTGGTGAGGTCATCTAAAAGTTTGATTCTGTCTTTCTTTCATGCAGTTTATCACAGCATGGGGGAATTATTCATTCATGTAACAATTGTTTCTCCTCTTTATGGATTGTCCCAGGCCTGTGCTCAGCTCCAGAAAATAAGATTTCAGGAGCTCAAATCTGAGTGGAAGAAAGTGACTTTGGGACGTAGGGCAGTAGAAAGGAGAAGAGCCAGGAAGCCGAGCCCAGGAGCCAAGGCAGACAGAATTCAACCTGTCTACATGTCTTGTGCTTTGGGTTCTCCTCTGTGGGTCTGCCATCCCCGGCTCTCTTCTCCTTGTCTTTGATGGGGTCCTTAACTAAACTATGATGTGTGAATGATTTAGGAGTTGGTGTCGTTCGAAGATGTGACTGTGCAGTTCACAGAGGAGGAGTGGGCTTTGTTGGATCCTTTACAAAGAACTCTGTACAGGAAGGTAATGCTGGAAAACTGGAAGAACCTGACCTCACTCGGTAAGCTACCATCAGCCTATGCTGCATTTATGTAATGACTCAAGCAAGATTTGCAGTCCAGTTTGTTCATTGGTATAGAACAAAGCAATGTTTGAACCATTTTAAAATAGACAATTGAGTGACTTTTAATATATTTGTCATGTTGTTTAACAATGTAATTTCAGAACATTTCATTACTTCTGCTATGGCTTGGTTTAACCTCCAAAGGTTTCTGTGCTAGAAATTTAGTCCCCTCTGAAAGTCAATGTTAAAATAGTGGAAACCTCTAATGGTGGGATATGTTAGAAGGTATCAAGATCAAGAGACCTTCCTCGGAATGGATGTGTGCTGTTTCTTGGGAGTTAGTCAGGTCTTGTGAGACTCATCCAGTAGGGGTAGGGCCTTGGGAACCATCCTCTGGCTATGCTGTAATTTTCACTGGCTTGATCTCATATAGGTAACAGCATGTTATGAGTTGGCGCTTGCAATGGCCATCATGTGTCCAGAAATCAACATTTCATCATTGCCCCCTCAATCTGCCAGCTCCTACATTATTTCTGGCCCCTCATCCACTTAAAATCAATGAGGCTGGGATGGTGGGACGTGGGTATAGATGACCCATCCCTCACCACTTTACCCAGTTGTGATTCTCTGCATTAACTACTGTCCAATGCAGAAAGAAACTTCTGTAGACAAAGTTTAGAGATTAACAGATCTATGGGCGTAAACATAAATATTTAGAGTGCTATTTGACAACATAATCATTTAGCAAAAGACAAGCGTATTCCTCCTTGGATCTATGATTTCTCCAGTCCTGCCTTTTTGACCAGGTTTATAGTACCAGGCATGAAATCTCTCCTGTGAAGCAGGCCACATAGCCAGTCAGAAAGCAAATGATTAACCCCATAATCATCATGCCACTCACTGTTGCACAAGTGGGCACTTTTTTGTCAGCCAGTTGTTATTATGGCATGCAGAATCTAGCACTGGGTAAGACCATTGATGTCTCTTCTCCATCAGCATCCTACATAGCATGTTCTGGCACTATACGACCTAGTCATCAGAGAAAGAGGTTCCTGATCACTCACCAAAGTCAGTGGTGTCTTCAGCAATAGGGTCTTATTGTCTAGTTATGGTGGACAACTAAACAATGACAATAGCTTCTGAGGCCTCCTGACCAATAACTTATAGGAAGGTATTCTATTCCTGCCACTAAGATTGCCACCTATGCAAGATTTTTTTTCTATTTATGCTCTTTAAAACAGCATGAAGTTTAGGATTTAATTAAAATCAAACTTTTAAAAAAATTTTCAGTTAACATTTGGAAGCACCAAGATATTTTAACCCCACCATCCATCCCCTGATCCCCTTAACTGTGTCCTTTCCCTTCCCCATATTGATAAAGTTGGTGTTAAAATATCAAAGGCATTATGGCTAAAGGTCACAACTTCAGAATGTCAAACATCCTCACTCTGTGTTTTAAAATAGAGCTATGAAATGTCTGTGACAGCGGGTGGTGTTTGTAACATCCTTCTTTGGCAAAGCAGAGGCTGCAAAGAGTATCCCAGGGCTGCACAGTTTTAGCTCTGAAAAAACCCAAAGCTGCATAAAACAAATACTGAAGATGAATCAGGTTTTCTAGGAAGCAGTAACCCTGGGGCACAGAAAGGTGCCTGGATCTCTGGAAGCTTGCATTTTGGCACCTTCCTGGTATACTCAACTGTCAAACTCTACTTTTTTATATGTGTCAGCTTGCAAACCAGTGGATTTCCAAAAGACTTGTCTTAGTTACTGTTCTATCACTATGAAGAGGCACTGTGACCAAGGCTATTTACTGAAAAGAAAACATTTAATTGGGAATTTGCTTACAGTTTCAGAAGGTTGATCAATAACCATCATGGTAGATAGCACAGTGGCAGGTAGACAGACAGGCAGGCAGTCATGGCCCTGCAGTAGTAGCTGAGAACTTACATCATCTGCAGAATGGAGGCAGAGGATGAGAAAGAGCTCCTCCAACAATGCCACACCTCTCAATCCTTCCTAAACAGTCCACCAGCTGGGAACTAAACATTCAAGTATATGAGTCTTTGGGGTCACTCTCATTCAAACCACCTTCTTCATAGATCCTACTTTTGGCTTATCCACCCCAGCCTACCATCTCTTCTCCCCAGTCACTCTGTCTGTACTTATTAAAACCATTAACCCTAAATGTATCTCCCATGTCCTTTCATGTCACCTGTGTGCAACTATTCCTCCTAATAGTAGTGTTTTTTTTTTTATTCTTCCCCCTTGGGTTGGAAGATTGTAGTTTCTGTATAGCTTTGTGTGTGTGGGGGTGGCGTGTCTTAGGGTTTTTTGTCTTATGTTTTGTTTTGTTTTGTTTTGTTTTGAGACAGGGTTTCTCTGTGTAGTCCTAGTCATACTAGAACTCACTCTGTAGACCAGGTTGGCCTTGAACTCAGATATTCACCTGCCTCTGCCTCCTGAGTGCTGGGATTAAAGGCATACACCACCAACGGCCCTCTATAGAACTTTTTCGTTAACCCTTCATTTAGTTAAGTGTCCTATTAACACCTCATTTCCCCATTCCCTCCCCAACTCCAATCTTGAACTTTTCTGTCCCTGGATTCCATTTTCTATTTTCGTTTCACTTGTATTTTACTTTTTTCCCCTCCAGCCTGCCCTGAAGGCCATCCCCCAATGGCACATTTCTAGTTTGCTACCTTTCACGTGTACTCTGGTTTAAAGGTACAAAACAAAAACTGAGTATAGGAACCATTTATGAGAGAAAACATATAGAATTTGGTAAGGTGACTCTCAAACCTCATCTGTAGCCCCTGGCTACCATTAATCTGCTTTCAAATGCTGTATTTTAAAGGTTTAGCCATGATATAACATGTTCTAGGGTTTCATTCATTGTAATGAAAAACTAGTATTACAGACATACTAAATTTTGCTTATCTGTTAATTGGTTCATAAACATTTAGGTACATTTTTATTTTCTTGGTTATTTTGAATAATACTATTATAGATATTTATACATTGGTTTAATCATTTGCTTTTATTTCTTGTGATACTTGTGGGGTTGTTTTGTTTTGTTAAGAACTCCTAAAGTCTTCCATGTCATGTGCCCCATTATATAGTCACACTAATGCATCTACACCATTTTCTTTTGATCATAGTCATTCTACTAGGTGTGAAAAGTACCCATTGTTTCAATTTGCATTTTCCTAATAAATAATGATATTGAACATCTTTGCTTGTACTTGTTAACTATCTAACTGAAAAAAACGTCCACTCAAGTCCTCTGTCTATTGGGTTGTTAGTATTTTTGTTGTAGTTTGCTAGGTATTTTGGATAAGAGTCGTTTCCAAATTACAGTTTCCTACTAATTCTTCTGTTGCGTATCTTTTCATTGTTGTCTTTTGTCTTAGTTGGAGTTTTTATTGCTCTGACAGAACTGTGACCAAAATCAAGTTGGGGAGGAAAGAGTTGTTTTGCCTTATGATTTTAAGCCCAACACTAAGGGAAGCCAGGACAGGAACTCTGGGCAGAAACCTGGAGGCAGGAACAGGAACAGAAGCCATGGAGGAATGCTGTTTACTAAGATCCTCATGGCTTACTCAGCCTTTAGCAGCCTGAATACCAACCAGCCCAGGGGTGGCACCACCCTCAGTGAACTAGGCCCTCCCATATCAGTCATCAGTCAAGAATATGTACCACAGGACAGTCTGGTAGAGATGCTTTCTCAGTTGAGATTCCTCCTTCCAAACTGACTCTAGCTGGTGTCCAGTTGACATGAAACTCAACAGTACAAGTGACTCCTTGTGATCTTAATGTACAAGCGTATCACAACTATAACTTTAATTTCTTATTCATCCTCAAGTTCTCATTTTAGTATTAATATCATAAAAACTTCCAACTTTTAAGTCCCAGTCTTTAAAAGTTCAAACACTTTCTAAGTCCAGTTTCTTTAAAATATCCAAAATCTCTTCCAAAGTTCAGTTTCTCTAAAATATTCAAAATATCTCTAAAATATCCATAGTCTCTCAAACTCCAAAGTCACTTTGAAAGTTCAGTGTCTGGCCGGGCGGTGGTGGCGCGCGCCTTTAATCCCAGCACTCTGGAGGCAGAGGCAGGTGAATCTCTGTGAGTTCGAGGCTGGGCTGGACTGATAGCCTCCAAAACAATACAAAGAAACCCTGTCTCGTAAAACCAAAAAAAAAAAAAAAAAAAAAAAGAAAGTTCAATGTCTTTCAACTGTGAGCTCTTGTAAAGTAAAAACTGACACACTTTCGTAACTCTTTGTAGGAAAAATCATGGTAAGGTTATAACCAAAACGAAGCAAAAAAAAAAAAAAAGTACAATAGTATAAAATGCTGGATATCGTCTGATCACTCACTGCCCTCTAGGCTTCTCCAAAGAGTTTTGAGCTCCACTACTACAGCACACAGAGCACCACTCCACAGCTTCTGATGACTTTAGTCATGCCATTATACTGGTATCTGGTCTCCATCACAAACGAGCTGTACCTTCAATTAATAACATTCTGGGCTCTCATCTTACCTCTGTGACCCCATTAAGCCTGGACCTTCTACTTCAACTAAGGTTTCACCTTCACCAGGGACCTCTCCCACCCTCTATTCAGGGACTCCAACACTGCCACAGGATGCCAGGCCTTAGCTATCCTTCCTGATTCCTTCATCCTTCAAAGACAGAAATACTTGAAAGATTCTTAACAGTACTCAGTTTAGCTGTCAGCATGGGGTACAGACATATAATACTAAAATTTAGGGAGATGGTTTCTAATTCTGCCTTGACCTTCTGCTTCATGCGAAGCCAAAGATCACCCAAGAATGTGAGCCAACTAAGATCTTTCCTAAGGGTATGGATTGCGCTGGTTATGTCCGTAACAATCTTGTTCTGGAGAACATTATCTTTGAAATACCCTTCCTTCTAAGCAACATCCTACAGTCTACTTTTCCTCCTGGGCTTTACTTACTTAATGCTTGTTTGTGACTACTCTTCTTTTCTTACACATTGGCCTTTACTTGTATTTATCACATGTGTCTCAGAATGTGGAGTTAAACAAATAAAACCATTTAAACCAGTCTTGTAGGAAGTCCCTGGAGGACAAAAGAAAACATAGATCAAGCTCTGTTCTGCTTCTTTTAGGACAATATATGCTGCCTTCTTAAGGTATACAATCAGAAAAGATAAAACATGGATATGAGTCATTTAAAAATGGCCTACAGCCTCTTACACAGATTAATTTGGAAGTATGTTATTTGAATTTTGCTTCCATATCTAAACATTCTATTAATAGTTTTAATTTTTTTTATGTTTGTAGTTGTAGAAAGGCCATTCATTTCTGTTAAAGTTTACTTATTGTTTCTGTTTGGGCCCAGGGGAGTTTTAAGTTCTCCTTTTCACCGTTTTCACTGTCTGATGGGAGAAGTCCTATGTATATGTCAATAAAGCACTGTTGGGCCAATAGGAATCTAGGTAGGTAGGACTAGGAGTCCAGGAGGATTCTGGGAAGGAGAAACACAGAGAGTCAATATGTAACGCCATGGGGTAGGAACCCGGAAACTTCTCTGGTAAGAGACATCCTTATATTAACAATTATGGGGTAATTACTTAAGTCAGAGCTAGCCAGTAAGAAACAAGCAAGGCCAACATCTTCATAATTAATATAGCCTCCTGTGTGTATATTTCGGACTGATGCGGCTCTAGAACCAGGTTGGTGGGAAGGTTTCTCTCAAGGAAAAGGTTTCCCTTTACAAAATGGTTGTCAGAAGCGGGATTGAATTTCCACGCAAAACAACAAAAGCTTTAAAGGAATTTTAGAAACAGAAGAACGGAGAGAAGCACAGAATTTTGGTAGAAGGATTTTCTCAGGTGGGCTCTGTTTGCTAGGGACAAGCCGAGATTCACACGGCTTGCTTACCAGAGTCTTCCTGACTCGGCATGAAAAGAAAAAAAAACCAGCAAGGTTGTTTTAAGAGACTCTGCTAACAATTGAAAAGTTATACGTACAACTGGAAGTGGCAGCTTTTGCTGGATGTCAGCATGGACTGAGGCGGTAACCTGGAGTCACACTTACGCCCGCCATCTTGAAAAATAACGGTAGTTTAAACAGCCGCGGTTTTAACAGATAAGACACGTGGCCAGAAAAAACGTAAAGATTTACAGTAAAGCCAGACTTGGATGAACAAAACCTCTAAAGGTTTACAGTGTGTTTAAAAATATACGTGAGATTCAGAGAGAAAATGAAACGGCAAAGTGGTAAATAAATAGAGAAGCCGGCATTGTGGTGGCGCTCGCCGGTAGGATTTACTCCAGAGGCAGAGGCAGGCGATTTCCAAAGAGAAACCCTGTCTCAGAGAAAAATAAATAAAATTAAAATAAATAAAGTAATAATAGATAAATGAATAAGCCACGTAAAGATGGAAAATACACAGAGAGTCTGGATACTGTACGCTATTGTGTTTTTCAGTTTTTTGATTGCTCAGGAAGGAACAACTGCTCAAGTACACTTGATTATTAATGCTGCTGAATTAATTCAACTTCTATCTTTTGAAAATGCCTTGACTTCAAAATTTAAGTATAAGAATATGTTACTCGGAAAAGGAATTTTAGTTTATGTTTCCACAGAAAATGAAAAGCTGAGGATTCTTTCCAGGCTTCTGTAGCTTGATGAACCAAGACCCCCGGAATCAGTGGGCCAGGCGTTCCAACAACTAAAACAGCTAAGATAATGTAGCTTCACAGACCCCCAAAAATAAGGACTTATGCAGGTTTCTGAGTTTTGTCATGATCCCTATGGTATAAACAGCGCCCCCTTCCAGCACGAAGCAGTTTGGAATGAGCGACGTCCTAATTCCCATCTTGTTTATAAATCTTTGTTTTCATTTAAATGGGATTGTTTATAATTGATTAATGATCACAACCAATCTCGTTTTAATGGTAAAAAGGGGAATTATGGTATGGGTATGGTTTTTCATTTATTGATAAATTCAAGGTCAATTATATGATATGTATATTTCTCCTCTTGATTAAGTATTGTGCTTATACTGTTCTTTTAAAACATAATGCATATTGAATACAGACTATAGATAGTTACTTATAATAGTCAGAACTTATAGTTAGGTAAGTTAGGTTTTCTAGATAGATAGAGATGTATTTGAGACAGATGATAGTCTTCAAACCTTTCAAAGACCTTCAGAAAATGGCATTTAAAATGGTTTAGGGTTTTTCTTGACAATGAGAAATGTCTGCTTCTGGCAGCACCAACTATGTCTGAGAGGAAGAATCGCATCGAAGAAACTTGTTATGGAGTTTGCTTTCAACATGGCAAGATTAGCCATTTGGGCAAGAAACTGCTCTTGCCTAGACTGTTTGACTGTTGCTGTATAAACTGGACATGCAGGACCCACAGGAAAGTGACTGCTGAACTCAGACTTACAGGGTTCCTACTTCATGGAAGAGTCTACAAGACTTTCTGCAGGACAAAGAAAAATGACTGACAGACTGCCAATGCAGATGGACAGTTTTGAAATTTTCTGCTTTGCTGAGAAATCTTCTGGATACATTGTGGTCTATGGGCTGAAGATGGATGCCCCTACGTTACAGAGGAACTTTGGGTGACTGTCCAGGCAGTAAGATGTCTCTGTCAATCCTAGTGTTTATATATTATCCTTCTGTGGTCTTTGATGGAGTTGAAGACAGATAGTTATAATTATAGTTTTCCTTAGTTATGATAAAAATAAGCTACATATAGGTCTTTGGACTCACAAGAATGAGATAGATGATATTTTCTTTAAATCTTGATAAATATTGTAACTGTGTTCTTACTTGATAACTGTTCTGTCATATATAATTTGACTATGTTAAAGTTAAGACCTTTCTTTTTGTTTAGACAGAAAAGAGGAGATGATGGGGGGAGTCCTATGTATATGTCAATAAAGCACTGTTGGGCCAATAGGAATCTAGATAGGTGGGACTAGGAGTCCAGGAGGACTCTGGGAAGGAGAAACACAAGAGAGTCGAGATGTAACGCCATGGGGTAGGAAGCCTGGAAACTTCTCTGGTAAGAGACATACTTATATTAACAATTATGGGGTAATTACTTAAGTCAGAGCTAGCCAGTAAGAAACAAGCAAGGCCAACTGCTTCATAATTAATATAGCTTCCTGTGTGTTTATTTCGGACTGATGCGACTCTAGAACCAGGCTGGAGGGAAGGCTTCACTTAAGGAAAAAGCTTCACTTTACAACTGTCAATTTTATAAGTCTTTTTTAAGCATTTTTTCTACTTAAATGTGAATAGAGATTTCAAAGCACAATGGCAAAAAGAGATGTGGAAATTTCTGTCTAATGTTTTTCTTGAGAAATTATTTTCTCTTTCTCACACTGACCTTATATTCTCCATAATTCCAACTTGGATGACCTTTTAAATGGATATGTGAACATTGGCATGTATATCTGGGATTATTAATAATAACCCATTACTTTGCAAATTGAGGTAGAGACACTTATATTTTTGTTTTTTATGAAAGTTTCTATGTTCTTTGGAATTTAGGCAAAATTCCACTGCTATTAAAGTCACATTTTTTTCAACTTCAAAGTTTGGCTTCAGGTTTATGGATTTGTGATGGGACATGTCCTTCTGTATGCTATGGATATATGTTTATCTTATTGGTTGATGAATAAAGCTGTTTTGCCCAATCGGAGGCAGGATGTAGCCAGACAGGTAGTATAGAAGGTCTACCAGAATAGGAAAAGACTGGGAGAAGGAACTTGGAGTAATATGCTGGAGCAATAGACATAAGCCGTTGCCTTGTGGTAATACATTGTTTAATAGAAAAGGATTAATAGTTAAGAGAGACTAATAAGAAGCCTGAGCAATCTGCCAAACAGCTTATAATTAATATAAACCTCTGTGTGTTTATTTATGACTAAGGAGCTGTAGAACCAAGTGGGACAGAAACCTCCATCTACAGATTTGCATAGCCCATGAATAAGCTCACTAGCATTACATGTATTTCTTCCATAACTAGGGTATTGCCTTGATAAACCAAATCTGATATCCCAGTTGGAGCAGGAAGACAAGGCTATGACAGAGAACAGAGGAAGTATTCCAGGCATCTCTCCAGGTGAGCACAAGAGGATCTGGGCTCTTCTATGGCTTGGGAAGCCAGAGTGAAAAGTATCCTTTCCTCTGACAAAGGTAGATGTGGACATTTGACATGAACTACCACCATTTTTACTCTTCTCTCAACTCTGCCTTTGTCATCTCACACTTTGACCTGTGAAAGAAAAACAAAGATGCACTTCTTTGTGTTTTAATTTTTATATCACAGGCTGGAGAGATGGCTCCAAGATCAAGGGACCATACTGCTCTTACAGAGAACTAGAGTTCAGTTACCAGCAACCATACAGGAAGACTCATACCTGCTTATAATTCCAGCTCCTAGGGACCCCAGCCCCTCTGTTTACCACAGATATTAGTATATACAAGTACATATAAACACTATTAAAAACTTTTTTAAAATGTAAATTTTAAGTCACAATTCCCATTCTTGATAGTTTACTTTGTCTGATTCTTATGAATCTCAGTATATGTCTGTTTTCTTTAACTCCTAACATTTCCAGAACACACTTCCCCTTCTTTCCAGTCTTTCAAGTGTTCTGACCTTTCAGAGTCTTCCTTGAGTGATGTACACCTCACCATTTTTCTTCTTCTGTTGATGTATTTTTCTTGTTAATTTCTTTCAGAATTGGAGACTGTACTTAAAGACAAATGGCTAACTCCTGAAAAACTTAGTTTTAGAAAGGAACATGCTGATAGTGGAAAATCAGTAACACTGGAGGTAATGATTTCTGGTTTTTCCATGTTTGAAAAGATAGAAGACCCAGAGAGTCATTATGAACAGTATCATTTAAACTTGAGGAAGTACAATATCTGAACAGATACTGTGAATGTATGATATTTTGCTAGAAAAAAATTAAGCCAACTTCAAACATATTTCTTCACTGAGAGTTCCCACAAGTACCCATTTCATTAAGTTTGAATCATGTGTTGGGAATTTGAAACATAAGTGGTCCTAAATTTATGAGAGAATGTTTTTGGATATATGGATATATAGCCAAATGGCTGTACATTTGAACAAGCTCAAATTAAGCATAAGTCATATATCAGTACTGAAAGAGCCAAAATGTTTTATGTCATAGATTTTCTGGGAAAGGGAATCTTATTTTAGCATGATAAGTTATTAATGTTATAAATTAAACTTATAATTTATGTCATAATTCACAGGAAAGAGATCATCATGGAATGAAAATCAATGAATGCAATCATTGTTTTAAAGTCTTCAGCACGAAATCTAATCTTACTCAGCACAAGAGAATTCATACTGGAGAAAAGCCCTATGATTGTAGTCAATGTGGAAAATCCTTCCGCAGTAAATCTTATCTTACTGTTCACAGAAGAATACATAATGGGGAAAAACCATTTGAATGTAATCACTGTGGGAAAGCATTTAGTGACCCCTCATCCCTCAGACTTCATGTAAGAATTCACACTGGGGAAAAGCCCTATGAATGCAACCAGTGTTTTCATGTCTTCCGTACCAGTTGTAACCTCAAAAGCCACAAGAGAATTCACACAGGGGGTGAGAATCACCATGAATGTACTCAGTGTGGAAAGGCCTTCAGTACAAGGTCCTCTCTCACCGGACATAATAGCATTCACACTGGAGAGAAACCCTTTGAATGCCAGGATTGTGGGAAAACCTTCAGGAAGAGCTCGTATCTAACCCAACACTTGAGAACGCACACTGGAGAGAAGCCCTATGTGTGTAACGAGTGTGGGAAGCGCTTCAGCAGTAGCTTTTCTCTAACTGTGCACAGGAGAATACACACAGGAGAAAAACCGTATGAGTGCAGTCACTGTGGAAAAGCTTTTAATAATCTCTCAGCTGTGAAGAAGCACTTAATGACTCACACAGGGCAAAAACCCTATGGGTGTAACGATTGTGGGAAATCTTTCACCAGTAACTCCTACCTCTCTGTGCACAAAAGAGTACACAACAGGTGGATATGAATGGTAATGAGAAATTACTGAGAAAATGCTTTGTTGATCCTAAGATAACTTGAGAACATTTACATCAGGTAAACAAATTATCTTTCTCAGTATAAGGTGTACTCAACCCAAATTTTGTGGCTTTAAACAAATACCTCACATTTTATAGGTTAGGAATATGAGAGCACCATAGTTGTGTAGTTCTTTGTCGGGTCTTCTCATGAGCTTATATTCAAGACACCAGGCAGAACTGCATCTAATGAAGTTGTTATTGAAGGTTGCCTCATCACATGCCTGGGAATTTGCTGTTGGTTATTGACAGGAGACCTTCACTGACTTACCACGTTGGCCTCTCCACATGATTACATTTCTTTATAATACAGCAAAAGAACAACCCCTCCCCCAAGAGATCCAACAAAAGCCAATTTAAAAAATTAAGTATCATTTATGACCTTCTCTTCAAAAGGTATAGTTTAACTTCTTCTCTATTGTATTCATCATACACAGACCAGCCTTTATACAACATGGGAGAAAACTACAGAATATCTGAGGGTCAGGAGACAGCTCTCTGAGAGCCATCTGAGAAACTTGCCATGAAATTAATGAAGTATGCAGTAGACCTTCATCCTTTTAATCAGTATGAAATGATATTCAGTAAATTGTTAGATCTCTCTGAATAGACATCTGTGCGATGATGTTTTTTAGTTCACTTATGATAATGTGCCCCAAAGATGATGTGTTGGAGAAAACTTGTTGAGTAGAATGGTGGTCATGTGGTAATCGTCTTCAGTGATGTTAGTCCTTTTAGTCTTTGTTGTGGGAAATCACACAACTGAGGAACAAAACAAATTCAGGAAACTATACAACAAAGTGTTCATATTGCTCACCACAGATAATGAGGTGATCTGCTGTGATATTGGGAAATCGTTAATGATTTTTCTTTTTTAAAGAGGTATGAGAACACTTTTTGATATGCCCCCTTGAGTATCAGGGATTGGCAAACCCTCGAGGGTTCCTGTGATTGGAGGAAATAATTGGCAATGCTTAATCTTAAGCACATAAATTTGAGGGACCCCCTAGGAGAGTGAAGAAATACGTGTCAGGATGCATCCGCCTCAGCTTTCCGCTGAGTAACTATGTAATAAAATTTATACTGGAAATGAAGTAGATGAGTGTGGGGTTACCACTACTAGTGGGTAGTATCTGAAGTTTCATTACCAAATTATTTTCAATCTTTGTTTTGTAAACATTTATGTCTACGTGTATAATCCCACCCCAACTTTTCCCAAATTCCAACACAATGTATTAATAGCTAGTCTTCTGAAGGGCTGTGTGTGGTGGCCCACACCAGTAATCCTAGCACTCAGAAGCTCAAAAGGTAGATTGCGAATTTGGTGCAAGCTAGAACTAGCTAACACAGTATTTTTGTCAGAGTATTGGACTTTTTAATATTGATCCTTTTTCTTCTTTCTGCCCTGAAAATATCTAATGTCCATTTTGTACTGCTTAGGGCCAACAAGGTGACTCAGTGAATGGCGGTGTTTGCCACCAAGGTTGATCACATGCATTCGGTTCCCAGAACCCAGACAGTGAAAGTAGACAACAGACTCCCACAAGAGTTGTTCTCTGCTGTCCACATGTATCAGCCCATCACCAAAAAAAGTATTTTATAAAATCTGTAGGTTGTTAGAATAATACGCCAGGGGCACTGGACAGATGACTCAGCAGTTAAGAGCACCAATGGCTGCTCTACCAGAGGCCCCAAGTTCAATTCCCAACATCCACATAGCAGCTCATACCTGTCTATAACTCCTGTTCCAAGGGATCCAACACTCTTATATAGACATACATTCAGGCAGGCACCAATGCAATTACAAATAAATCAATCATTAAAAAAAGAATATGCCAGGATTTCTTCAAGCATACAGACTGACACCATGAAATTTGAAGGCTGAAGGGAAAGCCTAACTTCTCACTCTGTTTTTATTCATGCTTTGATATAAAGTAACCCATTAGTGGTTGAAGCCAAAATGATTTGCTGGATGTTTTTGAGGTGATGCAAAGTTGCAGCTTAAAGCAGTACCTGACTGATAAATCTATTCATCGAATAATATCCATAGATCTTTGAGAGTAATATATATTCTTACATGTTCTGTTTTAATGTTATGTACAAATTGTTTTCTTTTAAAGTAATTTGTGGTAGAGCCATAGAGGTGTTCCACTGTGATTATGAATTAACGTTCTTATAATTTTGGCATTTTTTTCTGTTTTGGAGTTCTGTAATGATGCATACAAGATTGGTTGTCTTTTTGTGAGAAGTGTTCCTTTATATACAGAGAACACATTTTTTTCGTAACAGTACTATAATAAATGGTAAAAGGTTATAGACAAGCAGGAATGCCTTATGAGTAACTATTGAGTACTCTGAATAAGCACTGAAGTATCGTTATTATTCCCAGTTTAAAAATGAAATATTAATATGGCACACATCAGTTACTTGCCTGAGTTCTCTGACTAATAGTATAGTACTGATTTGAACATAAGACAGTCTATTAGCCTAATACTAGTATGTGCATTGAGTATGTTCTGGGAACTGTTGTATAGGTATTTGCTGAATTGAAATGTTCTCTGCTGGAGTAAACAAAGATGCCCTAAATGACATTGCAAGAAGAAACTAATGAAACAGGAAAACTTTCCAAACCTTTAGGATGCAAAGTGCTCAAGGGCCATCCCCCAGGTTATGATTAGTAAATAATTGCTGCTGAAGAGAATGCTTGTATGTAATGTATGGAACTACCAATAAATTAGGAAGGAAGCCCCAAGGATGTAGCTTATTTTGTTGTCTCCCATGCTGGGATAGGGCTTTTCCTAATACCGCTGCCTCTGTGTCATCCATACTTCTATAAGTAATCTTCAGTAATTCACTTGTTTGCCCAGCCAGGTTTGAAGGAATAGTGCCCTTGATCTGGCTCTAAACATTTGTTTACATACCACAAACAGGGCACCAATACAGGAACAGACAAAAACCAACGATCTCTGTGGGAAGATTATTGCAGCATGAACTCTGTATGGGATTTAAGATGTACTCCCAAAGCTAATCCTTGTGAGGATGGAGTATCATTTGGGGCAGCCCTGATACAGACATTCCCCATATGGTAGGCGACAGCATGCCTTCTTTGCTTTTGTCTTGGTTCCATGGTGTCTGATATGGATGCTAAGATATGCAACCAGGGCTGAGCCATTTGAAAGTAGAGAATCTTTTGGAAAAAGTCCAGAGTGACTGAACGGCTGCTGTGATTAAACAAAAAGCTTATTTTGCTGGGGGGTGGGATGGATTTTTTTGCTTTTGTTCATTTTTTAAATAAATTTTATTTAAATTAGAAACAATATTATTTTACATAGAAATCCCAGTTCCTGTTCCCTCCCATCCTCCTATAACCCCCTCTGTGCCCCACATCCAATACCACATCCATTCCCCAGGGAGGGTGAGGCTTTCCATGAGAGATCATCAAAATCTATCAAGGCTTTAGGGGCAGGACCTAAGCTCTCCCCCATGTATCTAGGCTAAGAAGTCAAGTTTCTTAAAGGGGGACATGGTGTATTTTATCTTTCAGCCTATTATTGAGGGAAGTTAGGATAAGAAATCTAGGCTGATAACTTAGAGAAATGATTCATTATCTGCCTTGATTATGGCATCATGCTACACTAGCTTATATAACTAAAGACCACCTGCCTTTCAAATTACCCTAGGTCCTACTACACCAATTGAAACATTTCCCAAGGGTCAGCTTGATTTATGCAGGTCCTCAATTGAGGCTGTCATGTCTGATGACTGTTGAGATTGTAATTTGACAGTTAAATTAGGACAGTCTTTCTCTGCATGGGGTGAGGTGGCACACCTTACTGGATTTTGCTACTAGAGTAAGCATGTACTAGTAAAAATGCCACTGGACTAGAGAACATACAACCATTCCCAAAATTGGCACTGTGGGACAAGATGTTAAGCAACTTATGGCAATTTGCCCCTTTGTGTGAGTGGTGAAAGATAACACATTCTACTGCCTGCCCATACTGAACTTGTCCAAGTAATGATCCTGTTCTGCTGATCACTAGTACTCTTGCTTAGCAGGAGATTGTTGAAACAGAGGGGATGAAATACAGGTATGAATTGCGGTTACAGATGGCAGGGTTCAAGTGAAAGACAACTACTAACTAGACCTGTGCCAAAGAAGCCTCCCTGAGACCAGAGAAGTTGGAATCCATGGGAAGAATTTAACAGCAAGGAAAGAGCACTAGAAATCACAGAAGATAAACTTCAAGTCTGACCCTTAATATAGAAGAAGATCTTTATTGGCATGTAGAAGGGTGTCTTAGTTGTCTGGTACAGAAAATTGCATCTGAACTGATTGAATTAGGGAAGACTTAAACATGACATGAAAGAGTCCTCTGGAAGCTTATCGTGTGAGACTATGGTAGAGATGGGATCATCACTTTAATTGGGAAATGGACAGACTGAGTTAATGTATCTAATTGTTCTTCCTTGAGTGGTGGCTATGTAATCTAATGAAATAAAAGAAAAGGTCATTCACACTTAAGCAAACTCACTAGACATTTGGGTTGCCTGTGATTTCAGTGGTTAAATTATTCACTATCATGGTTCAGGAAATATTGGGAGAACTGGTCGGGTTTAGAAAGATGTCTTAGTAGGTAAGAGCCCTTCCTTTGCAGTCCTGATGACCAGTTTGAGCCACAGAACCCACCACAAAAGAGAACTGCCTACCCACACTCTTCCTCTGACCTTTACCTGTCCACCTTGGCACACATACACCTATACACATACTTCACACACTCTAAAAATACTTTTTTTTAAAATTAACGAAAATTAAAGAACAAGCCTTCAGAGATCCTTCCTGTTAGAGATGAATAATCTGTGGCACACAGAAGACATAGCAGCAAAGCAAAAGTGTCTCAGAATTCTTATGAAGAAAAGGTACGCAAAACTCAAACTTGAATAGTAGCTCACTGGGCCAGGATGGAATCTGTTGCTTAACCCTACAGAAGGTATTTGGTAACCAAACCTGTAATCCATCCTTCAGGGTCAAGAGTAAACACTCTGTTGTTATTCAGATTAAGAATATTGCATTTAGCCTCTACCAAGGCTAAAACCTCCTGTAGCAACCATGCTTAGTCTTATAATAAAGACAGTTTTGAGCTCTCTGACCTTTATTAAAGATGGAGAAGAGCCATCTTTATGGGCCCTGACAGTTCACTTGGTGATGCTTAGGAATCAGGGTAACAGTAGGAGTGATTATCAAGATAATGCGTTCAGGCCAACAGTTGGGAAACATGCCTTTTATCCCAGCATAAGGAGTCAGAGGCAGGCAGATCTCTGTGTTCCAAGGACACTTGGAACAGACTGAGTTCCAGGACTATATAAAGAAGTCCTGTCTCCAAAAACAAAAGTTTACCTCTGGTGGAATCAAAGATGTGTGCTGCCATATCCAGCAGCATTACATTCTCACATGTAAATTACCTTGTGTTACTTTATTTATTAAAAAATGAATTTATTTTAAAATTAGCTATAATAGATGGAAGGTTCAGATCATAAAAGAAACCTAGTATAAAGGGAAAGATAAATGAAAGATACAACCACATCTAAAACATCTTTATAGCATCAAATTACCAGTGCAGAAAAGAATCTCTGACCTTTTATTTAAATTGAAAACTTTATTGATAGTTTATGATTACAACAGAGATTTTAACTAAAACAATCAAAATAAGTCCAAGACAGTGGTAAATAAAACACACATGGAGCAGGTTTTCATTAACAAGTATTAAGTTAAGCACTTAATATAAAACACTAAATAGCCTCCCAGGCAAGATTATTCCTGTGTTCTGAAAAGTGGATAAAAATAATTATAGTTTGTTATGGCAAGCTTTCCTATAGTCCAAACATTCACCAGGCTGAGACAGGAGGATCAAATTTAGGGAATACCTAATAGTCCAATAGTCACCAAATTTTGAAAAAAATACGATAACCTGAAATTTCTTATCCCATTAAGCCTGATATTATAAAACTATTTATTTGTTAGGTCATAGACATAGTTCTAGAAAGGGGATTAGCCATATCAGCTGCAGCTTCTCTATTTCCATGGCGATGGCAACCAGAGTTCCAGTCTTATATGCTGTCTAGTAGTGCCAGCAAGGAACTAAAAACCTAGTAAGCCACAGGCCCGTGGTAGGGAGGGACAAAGGATTAGCTTCAAGCTGGCCAGGCCTGCCTATCCTGAGTTAAGGCTTTGTTATCTACCCAGGAGATTCACTGAACTAACTGCTCAAAGACAGAGACACTCTCGTCTAAATGTTATATCAAGGAATTCCCTTTGCTCTGTAGGTTGATGGAGGATCTATTCCAGAGTCCTACTATGGACCATAGTTGACCTAGAGGATATTTTCACATGAAATTTATTTTAGAACATTTCTATCGAAACCAAAAACTTTATTATTTAAAGCACTACTGGTTACAATTTTGCTTTTCAAAAAAAGCATTAGCTTTTATTCCCAGCATTTGTGAGGCAGAGGCAGGAGGATCTCTGTGATTTCAAGGTGACCTTGGTCTCCAGAAGGAGTTCTAGGACAGACTCCAAAACAGCCAGAGAAACCTTATCTTGAAAAGCAAAAGAGACATACAAGTAAACAAAGTTTCTTCATGGAGAACTTGTAGAGTCCAGCACACTGATGTGTTCCTGTTTGTGGTTGTTTAGTCTTGTTTTCACTTAGTTTCACAATACCCTTCTACACTCCATTCTGCCATGTTCTCTGCCTGCCTGGCAAGCCTGTCTGTCTCCAAGGCCTGTGCCAGTCTCTTCCTGGCTCTACTAACCTTCTGTGCTTGTCGTCGAATGTCTGTACTAGTTACCTCTTGACTGTACAAAGATGACAACAACATTAGGGCGACTGGCATTGTAGCCCCTTGACTGAAGGAAGAGGAGAGTGGGACAGAGGGAAAGTGTGGCGAAGTGTGCAGATTATTAACGCCTCTTTGAACTTTGGCTTCACCCTGCGATCCCAATTCAGTTCCTCTGACAGTGTTTGTAAGATCCAATGGGCATACTAGCTCCCATTTACTGTCTTCAACTAGATGTCCCAGCAGTCTCTTGAATGCACAGACCTGCCGGGGTTTCTCCAGATACTCTTCAGACTTATTCCGAGGTAAGGTGATATTCTCAGGATGGGAACTTTTTCTAGTCACAGGCCTTGGGAAGATGCAACTGGTCATCCTCACAGGAGTCACAGGAGTTGCCCGAAGTCGGCGTTTGTCCTTGACCTTCTTCTCTGCAAGCCGGGCCCTCTTGTTCAGTAATTCCTGGGGTATCATACTTCTTTTGAGCCTTCCCTTTGAAAACAAACTAAATGTAAACAACACAGAGGATGGAATCTACTACTAGCTATGCTGAATTTTCTCTGTTCATGGATCTTCTACCATCCCTTTTCTCTGAAGAAACTGGTCTCGATTCAGTGATTCACCTAATGTCATCTGTGAATGTTTCTAAAATCAAAAACCTCTAGAGTAGGGCCCAGAATTTGAATTTTGGCTAGATCCCCAATGTCGCTGCAATGAAGGATCCAGTTAGCAGGCTTCTGGGACATCTAGCTCATATGGCTATCAAAGATAGGAATCCAGGGGTCTCTACTAAACCAGATACACATGGATTCCCCTCCTCCCTTTAAGAATGGTACTCTTAACTTGTCTTTCTTATAGTCACTGCATGCTTATATTCCAAACCTACTCCCAGTGACATGCAGTTATTACTAGTACAGAAATACACCATCTAAATTCACACAAGAACACTCATGCAAGGACAAATCATCCATGAATGCATTAAACAGTATAATGCCTTGATATTATGGGCTGATGAAGTACATTTTAAATTAATTGCAAAAAATTTAACAAGTACTTAGCTGCTTTTCATGAGACATGAGTTTGTGTCAAGTACAACTGTGCATTAAATTAAGGAGAGTTAAATGTAAAGAAAAATGACAAGAATGAACATTAAACCATTAGTATGAATTAAGTACTCACTATCAAAGGCTGGCTTGTTAATGAGTTTCCTGAAGATCCTTGCATGGTTGTAGAGCTTGTCTTTAAGGCTTCACTATAGAGATGCAGACAAGGCCTGGGTTGCTGGAAATGGCAGTGTCTTTGTCTTCTAATGTTCCTTTTCTATAGGAAGAGAGGTGCATAATCAAATTACCAGACAATCCAACCTATAGATAAACCGATCAGTGGTAAAATTGCTAGGGAATCAATCAGTTGGTGGATAATCCAACCACAAATAAACTGGGTAGTAGATTATACGATTGTTGATAAAGTGATCAATTAACAATCTGTGGGAGTTCCTGTTTCATATCCATGGAATTTGACACTTAAGTGTTTATTCAAGAGTAAAACTTGACCCTGTTAATATACATGAGGTGACAATAGTGTTTCATTATATTGAAACTCAAAGATTACATTATAAAAACCTTATAAATGTCCGGTTTGGTGGTACACGGCTTTAATCCCAGCACTCCGTAGGCTGAGGCAGAGAGATCTTTGTGAATTTGAGGCCAGCTTGGTCTACAAGAGATAGATCCAGGACATCCTCCAGAGTCACAGAGAAACCTTGCCTTGGGGAAAAATTCCTTATAAACTGGAGGTGGCACATGACTTAGATCCCAGACTTAGATCCCAGCACTTGAGAGATATAGGCAACTTGAGTTCTATGACTTGGTGTGCAGCCTGTATACAAACCCATTTCCATGAGAAATGAGACTATTTCAAAGAGAAATCTTGTGTCAAAAATGTAACAATAAAAGGCTGTTTATAAGGAACAATTTATGTTCGGATCTGTGTATGAAGACACCACTAACTAGCATACCCATTATCTCACCAACCTTTTCAAAGCAGCATTTTAAATATATCCATTTTTCTCAATAGTTGAATATTTCCAAATACTTTCTATAAAAATTGAAATAGACATTTCTATATGTACAAATTTTCACACTTTTTTATTTTATTTTTTTCGTTTTTCATACAGCGTTTCTCTGTATTGCTTTGGAGGCTATACTTGAACTCACTCTGCCTCCTGAGTGCTGGGATTTAGGTGTGCACCACCAACGCCAGCTACACACATTTATTGGCAGGTTCTTACTATGAAAGTCAAGCTGGTCTGGAACTGAGAGAGATGTTTCAGTGTCTGCCGTCCCTGTACTGGGATTAAATGTGTGCTTGGCCACACCAAGCCCAACACCTTTTGTATAGGATTATTACTCATTAGAGATTATTTACTCATTCATCAGGGCTGGGCCAGGAGGTACACTTCTTTATTCCCAGCACTGGGGAGGCAGAAATGGGCAGATTTCTAAATTGAGGATAGCTTAATCTACAGAGTAAATTCTTGACAGCAAAAGTTACAAATTGAAACCCTTTCTCAAAAAAAATGTAAAATTAAAATGTTAAGCCAGGCAGTGGTGGTGCATGCCTTTAATGCCAGCAGTAGGGAGGCAGAGGCAGGCGAATTTCTGTGAGTTAGAAGACCAGCATGGTCTACACAATCTAGTT